GTTAACTACTTGATGGGCACTTGATTAATAGGGGGTGGTTTCTCGAGAACTAATTTAGGAATCTTTTTTTAGAGAAACTGCATAACATAGATTAAGTAAGATCATTACACAGTACTTCCCGGATACACTCAAGCTATATTCATCACACATTTAACATGCTTAAAAGAACAAACAAGAAAGCTACTAGCAAGAATTTTAATGTCAGCAATAACAGGCCCAAGCATCGAGTGATCCCTTCCACTGGCCTGCACACGTTGAATGACAGAAAGGCAATCAGAAGCAACAATGATTTTCTGGAAACCCTCGGCCCAAGCGAGGTTGAGAGCACGCCGGACAGCCAGCGCTTCAGCAAGTGCGGGGATAGTGACTTCATCAAGACGTTCATTGCAAGCAAGCAAACAATGCCCTGTGTGGTCTCGAATCACAATCCCTACGCCCATTTTTCGATGATGAAGAAACAAGGTAGCATCCACATGAATACAAACCACATCAAGCGCCAGTGGGATCCAACGACGGTCCGAACAACAGGGATCACCTTTACTTGTCGTCAATGGTTTAAGACAGTGCTGCGCAAGCATTTCCATATAGGCAATGACTTTGTCAGCCACTCTAAGAGGGTGAAGCACCCCTTCATTATTGCGGGCCTCATTCCTCGCCCCCAAATATGCCAAAAAGTAACTGCCAGTACAGTTGAATGTCTAGCGGTCTCACTGGCCAGGAAGGAAAACAGCCACTACCTAGCATTACTTAAACTCTTCCTGGAAAGTTTTAAAGGATATTGTACCTTGATAGCATTCAGAATGGATTTGGCAAAGGGGCACATCAGGAAGCAATGCTCAACACGTTCGACCTGGTTGCAAAAATGCAGTTGTCCGGGACAGAAATGTGGCGTTTCTGAAGCTGAAAAGCTGTGGGGAGACAATCATGTGCAAAACGCCACAATAAAATTTTCATCTTATGGAGCTTCAATCTTCCAGAGAGCCTTCCAGTTCTTCTCCTCAGTCGCTCTGTCGGATGAAAGCCCAATTCCCCCTACTTCTGGAGATAAAAAAAGATTCTGAACTGGCCAGGTAGTAAGCAGATTTCACTGAATACATTCCAACCTTGTCATGCGGCCATAACACAAAATCCTCCTCACCATGTTGACTGATCGGGGTCTGCATTATTTTATTAGCAATCTCCGAATCAAAGAAACTTCGGACCAAAGCCTCATCCCAATCTTTGAGACCATCTCTCATTAAGAACTGCACCGTCACATTTAAGGGAATTGGGATAAGAGTACCGAAGCAACCAACAGTGTATCCCGAGATCCAATTATCTTGGAGGATTCTAATAGAGTTCCCACTCCCCACCCGCCACATGAGGCCTTTCCTCACGAGGTCACGCCCAAAAAGCAAGCTTCGCCAAGTGAAGGAGGATCAGGGCTTCAAAGCCGACATGAAGTCTGATTCAGGAAAGTATCTTCCTTAAAGGACTCTCGCACAAAGGGATGTTGGGTCCGTGATAAGACGCCAACTTGTCTACCCAACATTGCTTGGTTAATAAAGAGGACAAAGTCCCGAAAACCCATTCCACCGAGGGGTTTAGGGGAGGATAACCACTCCCAAGATCTCCAATGCATCTTTTTCTTGCCATCTTCCATGCCCCATCAGTGGTTTGCAATGGTAACGTTCATTTTCTCACAGACTGAAACCGGTACACGAAAACAGCTCATGACATAGTTTGGAATAGCCTGAGCCACTGATTTTAACATTATTTCCTTTCCGGCATGTGACAGGGGTCTATCAGTCCAACCATTAATCCGTTTCCACACCCTGTCAGGTAAGAACTTGAAAGAATTTGTAGCTGACCGGCTAATCTCAGTCAGCATCCCCAGGTAGGTATCATGAAGGATTTCATTGTGAACATCCAAACAACTTTTCACTTCCTGTTTGACCACATCGGGGCAGTGTTTGCCAAAGAAAACAGAAGATTTCTGAAGGTTAATCTTCTGGCCAGAAGCTTCGCAATACACACTCAACACCTCTTTTAACGCAGCCACACTCCTTGGATTACTTCGAGCAAAGAAAATGCTGTCGTCCGCAAATAATAAATGGGATATAGTTGGACCCTGCTTTCCATTACGAATTCCCTGTAGCACTCCAAGTTCAACCTTTTGTTGCAAAATACAGGACAACCCTTCTGTACAGAGGAGAAACCAGTAAGGGCTAATAGGGTCCCTTGGCGTATACCTCTTGAAGGCACCACCGGTGTAGTAAGTTCTCCATTGACCTTCACTGCATATCTCACAGACGTCACACACCGCATGATAGAGGCAATCCAGGAGGGAGAAAAACCCAGCTTCTTCAAGCAACCATCCAGATAGGACCACTCCATCCGGTCATATGCTTTCATCATGTCGAGCTTGAGAGCAAAATATGGTGTCTTACTGTGCTATTTTTTTTACCGTGTGCAGGCATTCAAACGCCACCAGAGCACTGTCAGTAATCAATCTGCCCGGGACAAAGGCGCTTTGATACTCTGAAACAACATCAGGCAGCGCAATCTTCAACCTGTTAGCCACCACCTTGGAAGCAATCTTGTACAAAACATTACAGAGACTAATCGGTCGAAACTTAGAGAGGTGTTGTGTCACGCCCCGGACCTAGCCGGACACGTCAACAACCCGCCGTACAGTACGATTAGTCAACCGCAGTCCAACTCATCCATACTATACAAGGCGTCTTGAATACCATTCACACATAGTACATCCATAAACAAACATAATGTAAAACATTTATTTAAAGCAGCGGAAACATTTAATATAAGAGTTTATGCCACACCTTGGCAAACATGGGCATACAAGCCCCCAAATAATTATTCAAAAAATATATCCATGAGCATTGTTATAATTGTTTTGAAACAGAAACGGAGGAAGCACGAACCACGTCTTCTCTCCTAGAATCTCCCCGTAGCCACAGACAATGGTAGCAAGCTCAGCTCCTACCTGAAACTGTGAGGTGGCCTCCCCCGTGAAGGGGAGGTCAGTACTTGGAAGCATTTGACAAGTACAATGACAACTATACTAAGTATAATCAATGTTTCAATTTCAAAGACCCTCAATCTAGGGTGATATTATATTATAGGCCATAACCCTTAGTTACCCCTTTTATAAAAATGTACTCACTTTATATAAAGTCAAGTAATCGGCCCGTGGGCACTTATTCATTTAGAATTCACCATGTTAATTCCCCGTGACTACTAGTCCCGCCAACCCCATAGGGTTCCTTTGAGTCCCGATTATATAGCAAGGGCTCGGCCCAACTACATTTTTATACAACCCTTCAACTCAATTTAACACATTAAAATTACATGGCAAGGGCTCGGCCCAACTACGTTTCCATACCAACCACAACTTCGTGACAAGGGCTCGGCCCAACTACGTTTCCACGAAGATCACAAATACACGGCAAGGGCTCGGCCCAACTACATTTCCATGTAATTCTAGAGTCCGACTCTAATTCATTTTCACAGTCCAATTCTCAAGCAAATCCTATGCCTAAAATCAATCCATTTGGGTAGCCTTTAGGCTTACCCCTAACACACCTTAGTGTTCATACAATTCAACCTTAAAGTGTCTCTTAAGACTACTTAAGGTAAATCTATTCACCATCCTATCCCTTAGGATTAATTCCATTATATTATTCTCCCGACTAGTATTTTAATACTAGTGGGTTAGTCTTAGAACATATCAAGTCCTTAATTCAAATTGACATTTCTTTTCAATTGATTTTCCAATCCAAATATAATTTGGTCCCAATATCAAAATATCACTCTTATCCATTCATGAATTTCATACATGAAGTAAAAGTATATTTATCACAATATCTACATAGTTAATTCCATTATCATGTCATTCCTTTCATGTCACATAATCATACACAATTTATTCTAAATTTGTATATCATGCTTCTTTTACTCATATCAATAGTATTTTCATTTAAGCATTATTACTCATTAATAACCCATGAAAATCACTTTTAATACTTTAGGAAATCTTATGAAATTAACTCACTAATTATAAGCAATATAGTCATCCATCATCACCTCGTGATGTGCTACAATAGTTGCCTTTGTTAAGCCCCTCGATCGATCCCCGTTCTAGGCCGATTGAAAGTGGAAAACTGGATTGCTGGGCAAAAGCCGGGCGGCTTTCACGAAAGTCGGGCGGCTTTCGTAGTCTGCAACTACGAACATCTCCTTTGGAGTGGCGATTTCCGGCGATTTCGACTCCTATCGATTTGCCAGCCCTTCCAACTCCTAGCTCTTCCCTCTTGGATTCTCCTTTTCTTCTTGGTTCTTCAAGATATGGTTGATGTGAGGGACTCTCCTGGAGCTTCCTACCCCTCTTGCTTTGGTTATACGGATGATACTTAGGGGAGGAGTATATTCCTTTAATCAAAGGCAAAATAATGCCAATGATAGGACATAGGGGTGTGGCTTGTCTTGAGCCATCCCTTCTACTTAATAATCCCCCCCCCTCACTATTTATTGTCTCATCCAGATCTCACATGTCTACTAGAGCTCATAAAAACGTGGGGTGGCCCCCACTCATGTGGGAGGTCATCCCATTGTGTCCCGGCGTGTATAATCGGCCCCGAAATTGTATTTCTCGGACTGTTTTAATTATATTTTATTTTATCGGGTCAAATAAAATATATCACGCGTTCCTAATAATTATGGGCCTTTAGAATAGATGTACATTCCCCAACATTAATTTAGGAGTCTCCGAAACTCATTTCGGACTGTTATCCGCTAAATTACCAATACCGGTAATTGGGCCTCGTTTGACCCATCGATCATCTCCATGCCCTTCCCATTGCCCAATTAAAATATCCACCTCCATATAGATGTCATCTAGACCAAGATGAATATAATATGTGGTTCGGGAATTATCGGGTGGTCCTCGTTCCCGCTGTGGTCTCCACATGCAGTTTACTATTCACGTAAAAGAAATAATAAAATTTAACAATTACGTAAATTCATAACTCATCCTTCAAGGTTTATTACATAATTTACTAAAAGTAAAAATGCTTGGGGACAGTGTCACATGTTGGGCCTTAGCCACCTTTGAAATAAGCACAATGATAGAGTCACAAAAACATTCTGAGATGGTATCACCACTCAGAAAACCTCTAACAGCATTACAAACATCTTCATGTACCAGCTCCCAGTGGGTTTGGTAGAATCATGCTGGAAATCCGTCAGGCCCCGGGGTCTTGGTGGGCCCCATTTGGAACAGAGCTCCCCGAATTTCATCATTTGAATAAGGTTTGCACAACATTGCATTCATGGTGTCGTCCACTTTCACCGATATGGAGTCAAGAACCACCTCAACTGAGTCACACACTTGAGAGGTGAAGAGGTGCTCATAAAAAAGATGAGCCATCAGCACCTTCCCCTTCTCATCCATACATCTAGTGCCATCATCCCTCACAAGCATCTTAATAAGGTTCGTGCGTTTCCTGGCTGATGCTCGTGCATGGAAAAAGGCAGTATTACGATCACCTTCTTTGAGCCACTCCACCCTGGATCTCTGTTTTGACATAATCTCTTCCCGCTCGAAGAGTTCACAAAGTTGTTTTTTCCAGTTTACGCTCCTCCGTAAGGTCAGAAACACTCACAGGGGCGAGACGCATAATATGGAGCTTCCTCTCCAAGTTCTGCATTTGTTTTCGAATTGAACCAAACTTCATTCTACTCCAATCACGGAGAGATCCCGCCATACGATTCAGATTCGACCAAGTAGCTTGTAAAGATCTCACCACGTCGTTATTGGCTAACCAAGAAGCCTCCACCACACCGTTATAATCAGCTGTCCTGCGCCACATTTGCACCGGAGGATTGTGTGGAGAGCTATGAGAGTTAAGGGAGATCGATATGACAAAGTGGTGAGAGGATGTTGTGATCACATTTTCCACCTGGTAATATTCAAACAAAGCAGTAAAAGCCCCATTAGCCACAGCCCTATCAAGTCGCACTTTGACATTACAGTGATCCTCCCGTCGCTTTGTCCAGGTCAATTTTGGACCTGCATAACCCAGGTCCCGCAAACCGCAGTCCTCCAGACAGCTCCTAAAGAGCTCCATTTGAGCATGGGATCGATCCCTGGTCCCAAAATGTTCATCATGTGTCAGTGCCTCATTAAAATCACCACAGCAAATCCAAGGACCATCCCTCTGACGGTGAAGCCTCTGAAGCAAGTCCCAAAACTCATGACGTAATTCACATCTTGGTTCCCCGTACACAAAGGTTGCACGCCACGACACAGTGTTCTCCAAAGAAACCATAACATCAATACAGTGGGTATTGAAACGGTATATTCCTGCAACCAAAACAGAGCCAACCCTCCACTAAGTCCTTGACAGTTAACTGCAAATGAACATTGGTAGCCCAAAGACCACATAAAATTCTTTGCCCTGTTATCCCGCATCTTTGTTTCAGACAAAAAGAGAATGGCAGGTCGAAAATTCTTCACTAACCAACGAAGTTCACCAACTGTCGCGTCCGACCCCAAGCCGCGAAAGTTCCAGCATAAGAGACTCATTGGGTCTGGCGGGGCTGCCCTGCAGCCTCCGCCGGATCCGCCGATCAAACTTGAGTCCTTGGTTTCTTGTTTTGATCCCTACTGTGCACCTCATGAGAGATATCCCCTAAGTGAAGCACATTAGTACCAGATGTCCCAGCCTTTGTGGAGAGGACCAAAGACTGGGCAACAGGGATGGAGACTAATCCCAACTCAGGGCCTCCTTTGGGTTTGTACTCTTTGGCCGACTTGCGTCTCTGTCCCGCCGTTAAGCTATCTGTTTTCTGAGTTGGGAACAACTCTCTGCCAGTCTCCACCCACCGGGCCCTGCCGCGCCCACGGCCCTGCCGGCCATGACCCCGACCACCAGCCCGGTCATTCTTCATAGGCGAAGTCACCTCGTCTGCCTCCTGGTTAGACTTGCCAGGATTCTTTCCTCTTTCCCCAGTGAATGTTGAACGAGAGGACCCACCCGAGGAATCATGAGCACAGTATTCAGCACATTCGAACCGGACGCATTGCCCGATTTAGTGCCACTAACTCTCTTTCCTTCCTCTGCCACACAAAGGCGTTTTGCTGCATAAGGCAAACTCCCATCTTTTTCTCTTTCCCCTGGTAACACACAGGCCAAATGCGAGTGACCCAAGTGACCACAGGAGAAGCAATAGAAAGGCAACCGCTCAAATTTGACCTCATACCTCATCCAGGGCCGGTCAATTTTTGGCCCCCCTTAAGCTATTTTGGGCCTATATCCATGACAAACAATAAATCATATTTGGGCAATGAAGTTCATAAAATAAAGACGAGAATCACTTTATTATTATATAAATTACATATTTGGGCAAAAGTAACAACACGAGTATTGAATAAAAAGAAAAATCATTACTTAAAAACGTTTCTCGTAGACCAATGTGAAGCAAATCATTAATAATTGCTTCATATGCAACCTTCTTTCCACTAATAAATATGACAAACAATAAAATTGCCACATATAACAACAGTAAACTTTATGTTGAAAGGATAAATGAAAAGAAATATTATCACATATTGAATTCATAATTGAGCATGATTTATTAACCGATGATGAGAGTCTAAAGTTTGAAGTCTCGAAAGAATGAAGGTTTTCAAAGAAACAAAATGTTTGACTGTCAAGAGGACTCGCGCAAGAAGATTGCAAATTTGACGTCCTCTAAAACTAATATTAGGAACTCAGATATAGCTTATTGAAATTTGGAAAGAAATGAATAATTGGGGTGAAATCTGAGAGAAACGGACTTTAAAATAATTATATAAATTTGTTATGTTATAATTAAATTGAATAAAAAACCTTAAAAGTTAAAAAGATGTGAGGACTCGAGAGACGTGTCTTTTATTTATGCAGCAACAATTGTATTGCTTTTAAAAACTACAACCGATCCTGCTAAAAATTAATGTATATAATCTGTTTTAAACTTGTTCCTGTTTAAGACTCTTTATTTATGTTTTAAATTTTCAATTTGTCAACAAAATTAATCATTAGGCCTAATTAATTGAACTTAAGAATAAAAAAGAAGCCTACTCACAGTATATATAAAGAAAAAATTTTGGACCTACTTTTTCTTCTATTTTTTTCGGGCCTAGGGCGGTAGCCCCTCTTGCCCCCCTCAAAACCGGCCCTGACCTCATCCCTAGATAAGGTGACGGTAACAAAACGGACGAGAGGTTCATTGATGTCGACCTCCCCCCGGAGGCGCATGAACCCTCCCCAACAGCGGCCCTTGTTATCAGCATCAACTTGCATTACATGGCCAATTGGTTTTGCAATCTCTTCCCCCCGTTTGGCAAGCATCATACGAGGAGGAAGAGCGTATATCCTGGCCCAGAGTGCCATCCTATCGAACTTGATGTCCAGTGGCTTCAGGTCGGCATTATACAACTGCAACAAAACAGCGTGCTTCCCCACCACCCAGGGTGCACCGTCAAGCACCCGTTCCTGGTCCGCCTTCGACCCAAACTCTGCTAGGAATAAGTTGTCCTCGACTAAGTTAAAGACCAAACTCTGCTGGGAATAATTATTTGGGCCTATTCTTATTGAGCTTCTAAACTGTACTGGACTGATTATATTTTTAGCCTGTTATAGCCTATTAGCCCTTTAATATAAATAGGCTCCTTTAACCTACTGTATAAGACAATTAACCTTTCTTCTTCTTCGTATTATTCATTCTTCTTCCGCAATTCTTCCTCTCTGCAATTCGTTTCAATTCTACATGGTATCAGACTAAGGTCTTGATCGATCCTGATTCAAACCTCTTCTCTAATCGATTCCTCACAATCGATTTCATCATTCTTAATCGATTTCTATAATCGATCTCTTCCTATTCCTTTTAATCAATCATCTGCACAACCCTAAATACTATGGCTTCACCGCTAAATCCGACGGAAGACTCCTCATCACCGTACTATCTTCATCCTAGCGATCACGTTGGGCTTCGAGTCATCTATGAAACACTCACAGGCGACAACTTTGGTGCATGGAAGAAATCTGTTTCCATGGCTATGACGGTGAAGAACAAGATGGGATTTCTCGACGGATCAATCACAAAACCGAGTCCAGATACTCCTATGTACATCAACTGGTATCGTATCAACGCTCTCCTCTTATCTTGGCTGATATATTCAATTTCACCTGCTCTTCGCACTACTTTCTTATCTTTTACTGATGCTAAAGAGCTTTGGGATGAGGTTCAGCTTAGGTATGGAAAATTGATGGTCCTAGACTTTTTCATTTTGAAAAAACCCTAGGAAATATTTGTCAAGGTTCTCGTAGTATAACTGATTACTACAACTGTTTCAAAGAAATTTGGGATGAATACTGTAATTTCAGAAATATTCCTTCTTGTACTTGTGGTCAATGCACTTGCAATATATCTGAAACCTACCAAAAAATTATCCAGAAAGAGTCTATTCTCAAGTTTCTTGTTGGTTTGAATGATTCATATTCTAATTTGAGAAGCCAAATTCTTCTTAACACGGAAAAAACTACTCTGTCTAGTATTTACTCTATTCTTCTTCAAGAAGAATCTCAAAGATCTCTTCAGAATACTCTTCCTTTCACTACTCCTTTTTCAGAACCTTCTGCTTCTGAAAAACTCAACAATGATGCTACTGCTTTCTTTGTTAAAAATTTTAAAAAGAAAAGTTCTATTACCTGTACTCACTGTGGCTATCAAGGCCATTCTTCTGATAAATGCTTCCAACTCATTGGTTATCCTAGTAACTGGAAAGGGTCAAAAGGACAGAGAACTGCTCCTGGTTTTAAACCAAATCCTAATCTTAATAAAACTCACCATGCTCATATGGCCACTAATTCCACTGAACCTGCTCTAACTCCTACCGATTCAAACAACAACCATCATGCTCCTTTGGTTACAAATTACACTGAGTTTGCTCCTACTTCTATCAATCCAATTTCTGCTACCACTGATTTCTGTGATCCCAATCTGTATGAGAAGTTTCTGCAATTTGTTCAAGCTCAACAATCTAAAACTGCTTCAGCTAATGTTGTCACCATTGCTCCTGATGATGATCAAACTGCCTCTTACTGTGACACAAAGTTTTTAGGTAAACACTTTGCTCTTTCAACTTTTAAATCTTCTCAATGGATTCTTGACACTGGAGCATCTGACCATATGGTTTATGATGCTTCATTATATACCACTCCAACTAAACACATTTCAATTAAAATTCAACTTCCTACTGGCAATTTTATTTCTGCCACTAAAATTGGTGATATCAAATTGAATTCCAATCTTACATTACACAATGTTTTATATGTTCCTAACTTTACCTTCAATCTAATTTCTATTTCAAGTTTAACCTCTCATGATAATATCTCAGTATATTTCTCCTCTAACCATGCTATCTTGCAGGACCACCTTACCAACAAAACGATTGGCTTTGCCGATTTAAGGAATGACCTATACCACTATACTCCAGACTCATCTTTAGCTCATCATACTTCAACTGTGCATTCTGCAAATAGTCAACATCATACCTCATCTGCTACTCTTTGGCATTTTAGACTAGGGCATCTGCCTTTTAATAAAATTTACATGCTTTCTGACTGTAATGTTTCTGATAATGACAAACAATCTTTACCTTGTGATATTTGCCATTTTGCTAAACAAAAAAAGCTTCCTTTTCCTATCGGTACTTCTCATGCTTCTAATGCTTTTGATTTGATACATATGGATGTTTGGGGTCCTTATAAAGTTACCTCTTATACTGGTTTTAAATATTTTTTAACTATTGTTGATGATTACACTAGATGTACTTGGGGTTTTCTACTTAAAACTAAATCTGAGGTAAAATTTCATATGTTAAATTTCTATACTTTTATTGAAACTCAATTTCAAAAGAAAATTAAAATCATAAGAACTGATAATGGTACTGAATTCTTCTTTCCTGATTTCTATAATTCAAAAGGTATTGTTCATCAACTCTCCTGTGTTGAAACTCCTCAACAAAATGGTAGGGTTGAAAGAAAACATCAACACATTTTACAAATTGCTAGATCTCTTCTTTTTCAATCTTGTTTGCCTATAACTTTTTGGTCTGATTGTATACTTACTGTTGTGCATATAATCAACAGATTACCTACTTCTATTCTTCATAACAAATCTCCTTTTGAAATGCTTTATAATCATGCTCCAGATTATAATCATTTAAAAGTTTTTGGTTGTTTGGCTTTTGCTTCAACTATTTCTTCTAATAGAACTAAGTTTGATTCTAGGGCACATAAATGCATTTTCATTGGATATTCTTTAGGTTCTAAAGGATACAAATTATATGATTTAACTACTCATAAGACTTTTATTTCTAGAAATGTTAAGTTCTATGAAATGATTTTTCCATACAAGACTCAACATACTAAAAATAATTTGGATTCTGATTTCACAAATACACAAGATAATATTTTTAATGACTATTTAAACAATCTTACTAATTCTCTTACTCAAAATGCAAATGATTCTAATAATAATATCACAAATTACTTGGATACTCAAATCAATGAGGAGGTAAATTTGTTTAATTCTGATAATAGTAACTCTATTGCTAATGATTCTTCTAGTTTGTTGAACACAGAAAGTTCTCAGGTTCATGACAGTCTGTCTGAACAAAATACTCAAAGGAAATCTACTAGAGTAAGATCCATTCCTATTCATTTAAGAGATTTTGCTTATGATCTTCCTAATTCTATTATTCCAGGTAATTCTGATTCTTCTTGTAACTTGATTAGATATCATATTCAAAATTACATTACTTATAACAAATTAAATATTTCTCATCACTGTTTTATTGCATCTCTTTCTAAGATTCCAGAACCAAAATCTTACAAACAAGCTGTAAAATTTACAGAATGGAAAAATGCTATGAATGATGAAATTAAAGCCCTTGAAAACAATAATACTTGGGTTCTTGTTGATCTTCCTGCTAATCAACATACTATTGGTTGTAAATGGGTTTTTAAAACAAAACTTAAATCTGATGGTTCTCTTGACAGATATAAAGCTAGATTGGTAGCAAAAGGTTACACTCAAGAAGAAGGCCTTGATTACTTTGATACTTTCTCTCCAGTTGTAAAGTTAACCACTGTAAGAATTCTTTTAGCTATTGCAAGTTCTAAAAACTGGTATTTACATCAATTAGATGTAAATAATGCTCTTTTACATGGTGATTTGCATGAAAACATTTATATGCAACCCCCTCCTGGTTATTTACAAACTAATGATAATAGAGTTTGTAAACTTCTTAAAAGCTTATATGGTTTAAAACGAGCATCTAGACAATGGTATTTTAAACTTTCTGAATCTTTAAAATCTTTTGGTTATAATCAATCTCAGGCAGATTTCTCTCTTTTCACTAAAGTTAGTAAAACATCTTTTACTGCAATATTACTTTATGTGGATGATCTTATTCTTGCTGGAAATGATATAAATGAAATTAATGCTGTTAAATCTTTTCTGCATCATAAATTTACTATTAAAGATCTTGGTGAATTGAAATATATTTTGGGAATAGAAATTGCTAGATCAAAAACTGGTATTGTTTTAAATCAGAGAAAATATACTCTTGAAATTCTATCTGACTTTGGATATCTTTCATCCAAACCTTTTTCTACACCTATGGATTCAAAAATTAAACTCTCAAAAAATGATGGCACTGTTTTAAGCAATCCTAAAACATATAGAACTTTAATTGGCGGATTGTTATATCTTACTGTAACCAGACCTGATATATCTTATTCTGTCCAAACACTTAGTCAGTTTTTATCTTCTCCTACTGACATTCATAGGCTGCAGCTCATAGAGTCCTTGGATATCTTAAAAGCTCTCCAGGTAAAGGACTTTTTTATTCCTCCAAATCTTCTTTCAATATTCAAGCATATACTGATTCTGATTGGGGATCCTGTGTTGATACTAGGAGAAGTATTTATGGTTATTGTTTTTATCTTGGTGATTCTCTAGTTTCTTGGAAATCCAAGAAACAATCTGTTATCAGTAGATCCTCTACTGAAGCAGAATACAGGGCTGCATCAAATGCAGTTTGTGAAGCACAATGGCTTGTTTATATTCTTCAAGATTTACATATTCACAATTCCTTACCTATTACATTATATACTGATAACAAATCTACATATCATTTAGCATATAATCGAGTACAACATCAAAGAACTAAACACATAGAACTGGATTGTCATTTAATAAGACAAAAGATTAATTCTGGACTCATAAATCTTACTCATATATCTAATATTTATCAACTTGCAGATATCTACACAAAACCACTTGGAAATCCTCTCTTCAAGCAGTTTGCAGACAAGATGAACATGCTGGATATTCATGCTCATCTTGAGGGGGCGTCTCAAGAATAATTATTTGGGCCTATTCTTATTGGGCTTCTAAACTGTACTGGACTGATTATATTTTTAGCCTGTTATAGCCTATTAGCCCTTTAATATAAATAGGCTCCTTTAACCTACTGTATAAGACAATTAACCTTT